GTGATGGTTCACGTTGGGGGGGGTTGTCCCCAAGGTGGGGTCCCGCAGCTGCAGGAGGCGGGGCTGAGGGTCTGGGCCATGCTCAGGGGGAGAGCTCTGCTGCCACGCCCTCGCCGCCGCGGGCAGGCCTCCGCGACCGTCCCTCCGCTGGCCAGGCCGGCCCGTGGGGCGGCCACAGCCCCTACCTTTCTTGCTGGAGGCCTGGGAGAAGCCGTAGCCAGGGATGGAAGGGCAGATGACTTCGAAGACCTGCTGGTCGCCGAGGCCGTGGCTCCTGGGGTCTGTGAGCAGCGGGATGATCTTGTAGAACTCGTAGAAGGAGCCAGGCCAGCCGTGCACCATCATCAAGGGCTCCGGGCTCCGGCCCGAGGGCACCTGGGTGGGCTTCACGTGGATGAAGTGGATGTCCAGCCCTGCGGACAGAGCACAGGTGGCCGGTGTGTGTCTGGGGAGGCCTGGGCCCCAGCCCCGGCCCCACGCTCCAGGCCTGCGTGGAGAGCATCACCGGGCTGGACGCTGGACCCCAGGGCCCAGCGTCCAGCCCCAGACGGCCACACAGATGCTTGTTCTAACAAGTCGGGGATTCACCGACAGAGGATTCACCGACAGTTAATTGGCTGGAGTGCAATTCAGTCGAGTGAGGCAAGCTCGCACACACAAGTGTACTTATCTAACCAGAAAACAGTGACACCATGTGATAAAAGCAAATTACAGTTGAGCACTGCTGCTCATGCCTGTAATCCTAGCTACTCAGGAGGCTGGGGTTTGAGAGTCAGGGTTCAAAGCTAGCTTGAGCAGGAAAGTCTGTGAGACTCTTTGTTTAAAAAACAAAAAAGGAGCCAGCAGTGGAACTGTGGCTCAAGTGGTAGAGTACTATGAGTACAAAAAGCTCAGGGATAGTGCCCACGCCCCAAGTTCGAGTCCCAGAACTGACACCAAAATAACAGTAAGTCACAACGCTCTGCCGCGCACGGTGTGATCCTGCTTTGCGAAGTACCTCTGTGTATGGCGCATTGCTCCACGGCCATCTAGAGTCAGCAGCTTTGTAACCTCATCACCGTGGCAGGGAGTGGCAGCGGGCTTGCCTAGCAGGAGGCCCAGCTCAGGGGCTAGCGCCACAGCCCAGGCACCACGCTGGTGCCACAGAGGCTCACTTCCCAAGAGAGGTTTTCACACACACCTCACCCCACACCATTGTAAAGAGAAGACACGGTCAACCGAGCCCCTGTGTGTGCTGCCGCACGCTGTCAGCTGAGACTGAGCTTTGCCCGCCTGGCCCCCGCCTCCGTCCTGCAGCTCTGAGCTTTGCCCGCCTGGCCCCCGCCTCCGTCCTGCAGCTCTGAGCTTTGCCCGCCTGGCCCCCGCCTCCGTCCTGCAGCTCTTTCTGTTTAGCAGCCGGTGACACGGGCGCACATGTCCTGTGCGTGTCCTGCAAGTCCTTGCTTTTCACTGGATGTCTTCTCTCTGTCCAGGACCCTGTCCGCAGCACCAGTACACATCGCCTTAGACTCGTGACGGTTCAAACTTTAAAAAGTAGCTAGAGAACATGGCTCCTCTTAGCGAGAACTGGGCAATCCAGTCCACTCTGGAGCTTTGTTCTTCTCTCCCTTAATCCGTCCGGGGCACCTTCCACGCTGCTCAGCTTACTCTTATCTGGGGTTTATTTCAGTAGGTAATCGTATCTTTTCTGGAAAATACTGCCTGACGTGGGATTATTTTTAATCTGAATGCTACCAATTCACTGTTTGAGTTTTAAATTGAAGAAAGAAGCGTGCGTCCCTGCATGCATCACCTTGGCCAGGCTCAGCTCCACCTCTCCACACACTGCATTGTGGAGACAGACACGTTGTCTCCTCATTATTATCGTCATTGTCGTCATCATTGCTAGCATACACAAAGCATGTGCTCTACCCGTGGGCCTGCTCTGTCTCCACAGCTGGCCGGGCCTACAGGACACTCACTGCAGCTCAGACTCGGGCAGCTGAGCGTGTGCAGGCCGAGGGGCTCGGTGGGGATGAGGAGGTCCCAGGCCGGAGCCCCGCCCTGGTGGGGCATCCTGCCTCTCTGCATGGGGGCCCAGACCCACCCAGGGGACGATGGCTGAGAGGCCAGTGCGGGGTGAACCTGGGCTCCTCACAGAACACGCGGGGAAGGGGTGGACAGGGGCAGGAGGAGGCTGCTGCTTAGTGTCCGAGCCAGGGATGTGGGGTCAGAGTGGGGCAGGAAGGGCCCTGGAAACACAGACTAGCAGGACACAAAGCAGAAGAGCTTTCCTGAACGCCCAGCCGGGGGCCGGGGGGCCTGAGGGCCTGGGGCCGAGGCCAGCATGGGCACTGCGGCGGGGTGGGGAGCAGAGGCCACTTCGAGAAGGCAGAAAAGGAAAGGAAGGGGAGAGAGAGAGGAAGGGAGGGAGAGAGGGAGGGAGGAGGGAGGAGGGAGGGGGGAAGGAGAAGGAAGGAAGGAAAGAAAGAGAGGAAGGAATCAAATAAGGTGGTGCACACTTACAGGAGGCTGAGGTAGGAGGATCACTGGTTCAAAGCCAGCCTGGGCTACGTAGTAAGATCGCATCTCAAAAAATCCAAATCATAACAATAAAAGGAAGCACAGAGAGGTATCATCAAGTATCACTGAGCGCAGGGGCCTATGCCTGAAATCCCAGGTGCTTGAGATTTCCGTGTAAGGCTGGCCTGATCAAGCAGTTTGATGATTCACGCTGTAATCCTAGCGGCCTGGGAGGCTTGATGGGAGTCACAGCCTGAGAACAGCCGTGGACAGAAAGCCTGGCCCCTCACTGAGAAAGCAAAAAGGACCGGGCTGCTCCTTAGGTGGTAAGCACTTGCCCAGCACACCTGGGGCTGAGTCCAGATCCTAATCCGCCCAGACGACAGAAAGGTACTGACGGTGATATGGACAACTGCACCCGGGCACCATTGGCTAGAATGGACAATGGAGCATTAGAACTCGTCTGAGCGCCTCAGAAACCAATCACAGAACCCTGCTTCCAGACAGCAGCCAGGAGAGCGGGACACCGCGTCTTAAAGAGCTGTGTGCGGGCTGGGAAGGTGGCTCAGTGGTAGAGCGCTTGCCTTGCATGCCTGAGGCCCTGGGTTCGATTCCACAGCACCACATAAGCAAGAAGAAAAACCGCTGGAAGTGGCACTGTGGCTCAAGTGGTAGAGCGCTAGCCTTGAGCTGAAGAGCTGAGGGACAGCGCCCAGGCCCAGAGTTCAGGCCCCACGACT